TTAACAAATAGTTTTTTTCCCACAAGTGATGTTATCCTTATTAAAAATTCTGTGCTCACTGGTTTATTGACTGAAAAATCACACATGCATCTATCTATGTAGTATTAGTTGTATATGAAACATTGAAGATTTGATCCTGGTACACATGCCTACATGATGCCAGTCTACAAGTCAAGAAGACTTCTTATTTTACCCATATGTAAAGCCATTGGTGAGCAATAGGAAACAACAGCTCAGTTTTTTAAATGGACTTGTGGGTTTTGAAGGTATCTGTTTATTTTCATTCTGATTAATAATCTCTTCTGATTATTTCTTAGATCTTCCCTATGATTACACGTATGAAATAGTGAAAGGTGAGGTTGATGTCTGTGTTCCATTGTGTATGAATTCTGACTTCCTCAGTCACAGAGAGAAAACTGAAGTAGGCGAAGCTGAGCTTTGAGATGCTCATTCTCTTTTTTTGGTTTTCATTCCTTGATAGAGGCTGACTCCATCCCCTGCAAGGCCAATCCTGTTTAAATGCACTAATTAACAACAGTACATAAAAGAAACTTTCTTTACACATTTAGAAACCATGTCTCACTATCAGTCCTTACTCTGAGTGCACTAGTAAGTTTTAAAGTATCTTGCCTGGTCACAGTGGCTACTTTGAGAGGTCCTAGGGTCACAGTCACATGACTGACATCCTCTGCCAGGGACCAGATTCCAGTATCCATCAGCACAACGATCACAGGCCAGGCCTGTGACATTCGGCAGACAAGGGCATGCACCAGTGACAGGGTCACAGAGGCAAGCTCCCCCACCAGGGGGACACTCCGCGGGACTCACACCAGAAGCATGGCAGGAGCATCCTGGGATGATAAAACCATCATCAGAGGTAAATTCAATGATAAATTTGGCATTTAGCAAACCATACAAAGAGAATTTTAGACCTGGATGTATCATTTCTCCAAGGGGCTCAAAGAACAAACACCTTATAATAGTAAAGAATTTACCGAAGAATCTAAGCAGGTTGAACCCATTTAATGGTTTCCGATCTCCCCAAATGGCAAGTTCATGTGGTGGAACTTGTGCGAAGAGCGCACAGTTAAGATGCCTAAAAATCTTATTTTTCCCTCATGCCACTCACCAAAGTCCCATTTATTTAAATGACTTGAAAACAATGGTTCACTTATGCATTACAGTCACTTGACGAGTTTGTTACAATGCAGATTCCTGGGCTTCACTCCCAGAGATTCTGACTCAGTGGGTCTGAAGTACAGCCTAGGAATTTGCATGTTAATACACCTCACCTCCCCACTGCTCTGGCACTGGTCAACTGCGGCCTAAACTCTGAGAAACAATGCTTTGAATCCACGAGGACAGGTATTTCAGGCAACAGACACAAAAGGCAAACTAGTAACACCAGTGAGAACATTGTGGCTGCATCTGAGAATACCAGTGGTTGCATTGCACTAATTTCTGTTGATGAGTTCAGTACAACAGCCCTGTCACCTGGTGGGTGCTGCTTTTGCCTGCTGGGACTGGCCTAACTGAAATGAGCATGGGAGAGTTGACAAGACACTTACAAGCTGTCACTCAGCTGATACATTTCGCCCCGGGAGTTTTGCAGACTTACTTCTGCAGGTCTGATTGAGGGCTGATCCATAGTGACCTGGTTTGCAGAGCTGGCAGTTTGTACCCTGAGTGTTGTGCAAACATCGAAGGCACTCCCCTGTTACCCGGCTGCAGGACTCTGGATCGGTTACATCTATATTGTTGTTGCAGGGACATGGTTGGCAAGGTGCTCCTGAAATTCTTGGATTTCCATAGAAACCAGTAGAGCATTCTCCACACTGAGTACCTGAAAGACAGGGGGAGGAAAAGGAATGGGGTGAGGTGTCAGTGTTGGGAGAGAGGAGGAGATCGATGTCCTAAATAGAAAATTA